ACAAATATTTATTGAACTTCTACTATAATGTGGCCATGTGCCGGCCAGTGTTATAGATAAGAGATATAACAGCAAGCAAAATGAACAAAAATCTCTGACCTCATGAAGCTTATATTCTGACGATAAAGTGAGATAAGTATTGGAATAATGCATAGTGTAGTCCAATTTACAAAACACACACCCTACACACACACACATACACACACAGACACTACTATGTGTAAAGAAAACCATCTAGAGGGATACAGAGCAAACCATAAACAGTGATTATTTCTGGGGCTCATCTACCTGCATTGGAGAGACAGCAGCTGCTGGAGCAGTCCTCACTGGTATCCCACTTAGGGGACTTCTGGGGGTCTTATGGACAGAAATATTCTGTCCAGCTCCACCTGCCAAGAAAAAACATGGGAACATTTACATGTTGTTCCACTTCAAAATAGCTGATAGTTCCTGATTTCTCACTACTTTTTTTGGTGGCTTCAGGAGTATCACTGTTTAGTGAAATATTTACTCTATTATCCTTTTCTTCTCTGGTCTAGAGCTAAACTGGGGAAACAAGAAAGGAGGAGTTAGCTGAGTGGAGGTCAGTCTTAGATACAGGATAGCTGGGCAAAAAGAAAATGTGTAAATAATGAGGTGCCTAGGAAAGGAAGGAAAAGAAAAGCTCTTGTACAAATTGTTACTGTTAGTTCATTTCCAGTCTTCACAGACGTGAAAGGCTTTCATGTCTTTGAATATGTAGAGTCTAGTCTTAATCTAATTTAGGTGCAAACAATTTTAGCAGAGACAATCAGGTACATCCTAGAATTAACTTTTACTACAGTCTCCCAATACAAAATGGCATGACTGTTGCAGTCTGGGGAAGGCAGATATTGTTATTGGGGAGAGATACACATTGTTTCTTCTATTGCTATGTTTATGTATGAAGTATAGATATGAATCTTTCTCATATAGGAAGATAAGCATGACTAAAGGGGAATTGTGAGTCCATCAGACAATATCAGGAAAAGCTGGGAACATACCTAGATCAGGAGTGACAGATTAGCACAGGTGCTCATGTACAAGACCAGGTAGAAAAATGTCTAGCAGGTTGCAAGGTGAGGATGGCCGGGGGCTTACAAGACGGCCAGGTGCACAGGTGGGATGTCTCGTTTCCTAGGAGATGAAGTCTCTAGCTGACCCTTATGATTCTCATGAGATGGCAAAAGGCTAATAGTAGTGACCTGAATTTAATGGCTATGAGAGGCAGAAAAGATAGCAAGGCAGGAACTGGAGGGACAGAAGAGGTAGAGAGGAAGAGGTTGCATTTGTGTTATTCATGTACCAGGCTCTCCATCGGTGCCTCCCCGGAGCCTCAGTTAGGCTCCTGCATGCAGTGGCTGCACCTGGTAGAACCTGGAAAGCGCCCTTGTGGTTGTAGCAACGTAGGGCCAGGGTCTAGTAGAAACAGTAGACATATCAAATGTCGGGCCAAAATTTGCATTTGGAGCTTTGCTCATAGAAAAAATGATTAAATACCTGGGCGTCCCAAGTCAAATGACTTGATAAGTGACTTAACGGTGGTTGCGGACTCTGGGGGTGTTGGAGATGTTCTGTTAACACAGACACCAGGCCACCGGCCAGCAGCATCGATCTCGGAGGACTCCAGCTCTTCATCCACAGGTCTGCACGGCAAAGAGCAAATCAGATTGAAAAGGTGGAGGACATCCCCATGGAAGATAAAGATGCAGAGGAAAACAGAACTGATGTGAAGAAAGTAAAGGAAGCTGGAAGGGAATTCTAAATTTAACATCCTGTTTTCTCTACCAGTTTGCATCTTTAGAAAATAATGTAGACATTGCTCTCAATTTTTAGAAGAGCTGTTTTCTTGGGAAATGATTGGAAATAATATTTTTATATGTAGAATGACTTATGGCTATTCTGCAAATTGTGCATTTTTTGGTGAAAAAATGCAAATGTTATTGATTATATTTATTTCGCCTACTGTCAGTGGTGAATGCAGTGGATTGGCTTGCTGACATGTGCTCCAAACTCCATGCAGCACACAGAGTTTGGAAAGATGAAATCTCACAGCTCTCCTGAAGCTGGGATTTTGGGTGTGATTCAAGTTCCACCAATTAGAAAGACTTGGGCAAGACCTGGAGTAGGATCTGAGTCAGATGAGCAGGACACAGGGTGTTCACTATGTGGACAGAGACTGTAGCAGAGACAAGATGCTCTGGTGATGGCAACTGTGGTGGTAGCTTTCCAACTGGGCAGGCAGTTTTTTGAAGTTAAGCCTCCTGTTCTAGCGGAGGGAGCAGGTTCCCTGGTGATCCAGTTCTGTGTGCAGACTTTGGGAACTGCTCCTGGAAGCTCAGCCTTCCCAACAATTCTGAAAGCCATTTAACACCTTTCTGCCTAAGCCAAAGAGAGTGTGATCCATTATATACAACAGAATCCTGACTCAGACACTCTGCCTTCTAAGCCTAAGAATGGTAACGGTACTCTGGACTTCTGCCAAGATGGCCAAGTAGGAACAGCTCCAGTCTGCAGCTCCCAGCAAGAGTGATCCAGAAGATGAGTGATCTCCACATTTCCAACTGAGGTACCAGGTTCATCTCATTGGGACTGGTTAGACAGTGGGAGGAGCCCAAGGAGGGCAAACTGAAGCAGGGTGTGGTGTGGCCTCACCTGGGAAGCACAAGGGGCTGAAGAACTCCCTCTCCTAGCCCAGGGAAGCCATTAGGGACTTTTCCAGGCACTCCGGCACTCTGGTTCAGAAACTGCGCTTTTCCCATGGTCTCCACAACCTGTAGACCAGGAGATTCCTTCTGGTGCCTACAACACCAGTGCCCCAGTGTCCAGCACAAAACTGGGGGGCTGAACCGCTCATTCCCCTGAAAAAGAGGGGGCTAAAGCCAGGGAGCCAAGTGATCTAGCTCAGTAGGTCCCACCCCCACAAAACTCAGCAAGCTAAGATCCACTGACTTGAAATTCTCAAGGCAGCATAGCAGTCTGAGCTCAACCTGGGACATTCAAGTTTGGTGTGGGGAGGGGCATCCACCATTACTGAGGCTTGGGTAGGTAGTTCTAAACTCACCCCTGTAAATAGAGTTGCTGGGAAGTTCACACAGCAACTGGGCGGATCCCACAGCAGCCCAGCAAGGCCTCTGCAGGCAAACTGTGATGAGACTTACTTCTTGCTGAGCAGTGCATCTCTGAAAAAGGGCAGCAGCCTGTCAAGTACTTATAAATAAAGCCCCATCTTCCTGGGACAGAGCACCTGGGAAAGGGGCAGTGTGGGTCCCGCTTCAACAGACTTAAATGTCCCTGCCCAGCAGCTCTGAAGGAACCAATGGAGCTCCCATCACAGCACTTAAGCTCTGATAAGGGACAGACTACCTGCTTAAGTGGCTCCCTGACCCCTTTTTATCCTGACTGGGAGTGACTCATACAGGAGAGCTCTGGCTGACATTTGGCAGGTACCCTTCTGGGACAAAGCTACCAGAGGAAGGAACAGGAAGCAATCTTTGCCATTCTGCAGCCCATGCAGGTGATTCCCAGGCAAGCAGGATGTGGAGGGGACCTCCAGCAGACCTGTGGCAGAGGGGCCTGTTAGAAGGAAAACTAAAAAACAGAACGGATAGCTTCACCATCAACAGAAAGGAAGTCCACTCAGAGGCCCCATCCAAATGTCACCAACTTCAAAGACCAGAGGTAGATAAATCCA